TAGGTATGGATGTCTTTTGCATCTTTCCACATCTGCATTCAAAAAAGTAAGATATTTTCACTGTATTCCCTCTTTTACATTATTCCTATTCATCTACATGTCCAACTGAGCTGCGTTTTAAAACCAATTCCAGTTCAAGCTTATATTAAGACAAGGTAAAATACTAACAGAACATTCTCTAAAAGCTGAACCCTTCCAAAAAAAAGTGTAAAATCTGCTGCAATCCATTTTCAAGTAGTTTTAAATGGAGCACAGGAAGTCACTTACTTCTCCCTTGCCTAACACGAAAGAAGTTGTTATATAAGTAATCTTCCATTTCTACTTCGTGAAACCATGTCAGAGGAGCGTGTTCCTGTTTAGACAAGGCATAAGAGACTGTCTACAGAAGCTTAGATCAAAACATTACTTTTTAGCTCTGCTGACAATTACGGTCAATTTTATTTCCTAAACAACACAGTACAGCGTCATTTAGTAGCAGCCAAAAGCAGCAGTAATCACCAAGCTGCTGAAATGCAAAACCCAGCCTAATGGCTGCAAGGTTTCATTTGCTGAAATTCTCACGTACAGAGAGTGAATAGGTACATTGTCATCTTGGATACCATACACAGAAACACTGCAACTTCACTTTCATTTTGCATTATAAAAATCCTACTTTTTCTCATCCCTGACTTTTGTTTGCTCCATCCTTTTGTTCTGCTTCAGTCTTCATACTGCAGTTATCCACTGCCTAAAGCTTTGAGTTTTAAGAAAAGCCCTTTCTGTTACTATGTTTCACTGTTTTGAATTATTATTATTTTTAAATGACACAGAAATAAATAAACAAGCCTAGAACAAATACACAAATATGAGAATAACTTAAAGTGATGAAATACTAGACTGTTATATGGATCGTAAATTTAAAACTAAAAGGCATCTTTATAAATACTTTAAAGAAAATCTCAAAACCATGAAGTATACCATAAACATTTGACAGACTTGGTTATTATAGTTATTAATGGTTACTAAGCACATCAATAGCTGATATTGTTTGGTTACATGTCATCTGTTAATGTACTGAACCCTAATAATTAGTTCATACATTAATCATTTATTAACCCTTTACAAATGTGCGGTTACTCTACAGGTCACGGAGCGAACGGCAATAATACTAGCTACCCACAGGTTAATTCATTAACACATTTAACAAATCTCCTTGACAAAGTAAAATACTGCATTAAAGGATCTGCCTAAAAAGCTCTGTTTTCAGTGCAGAACGCTTCCTTGTCAGACCACAGGGAACACAGTAGTTAGTACATTAGACTTACAGTTTCTGAAGTATGATCTTTTGATTGCGGTAAGGCCATATAACAGCTCACGGTTGTCACATGCTGCTAATTCTCTACCATATTTCCAGCTGCTTAACACATGATAAACTTTTTAAAGCTTAGATTTCTGCCTTTTACATGGTAGGCGTCCGCCTAATAAACTAAGTAGAGGTAAGGTCACCTGGACCTGGACTACCATAACATACAAACAAGAACTACTCACAGCAATTCAAGCAGAGCTTGTCATACTTGCATGAGATAGAAAATATTACTGAACATGCAAAAAACATGTTACCTGAACTGAAGTACCATACTTACTTATAAAAATAAGGGTTATATTTTCCAGATATTTTTTCTCAATTTAACACTGCCTTCTTAATACTTAATTGAATGGTCTGGAAGGATTTATTATTAATTTTTGATTTTTAGATCAACAGGAAAGAGAAAAAAATTAGTTCACAAGAAATAGAAAAGGTCGATAGAAAAGAGAAAAGGCATGACTGGGTGTTCACAGTCATGATAATGGAAGGCAAGCTTGAAAAAATGGAGGCAATCTAGCATTTAGTAGAACTTGCAATGCACTGTTCTGAGATACTGTAAGTTAACAGAGCAATTTTGTTCATTTCTGTTCCTAAGTTTATTTTTACTATGTGTGTTAATAAACTAAACTAAATGGTAGAGATGATGTAGAGTACTGATGTTATAGTTATGATGTAAACTTTATTCCTCAAAACCAAGTCAGACACACTAGGTTGTCCTTTTTAAAACTCACAATGTAGAAATTATGTAATCATTCAAGGCAAAATGGCAACTTCTTCCTCTTATATTTTTCCCATGCTAACAGCTACCAAACAGCAGCAGTAAGAGCTTAAAATGTTTCCACTGCTTCCAAGATAACAAAGTAGCAACTTAGGAGGAATTATGAAGTTTCAATTAATCCAAAATATTATTTTATCATTCAAGTCTTTTAAAATGAAATGTTTGTTACATTTAATTTTTCACAACTCTCATAAGAAGCCATAATTCCAGACTGCCTTTAGGAAGCAAATCTTACTTGCAAAAAAGGCTTTACCACTCTGAGAACACAAACAAGCTTCAGCAGATGAGTAATTCAGAAATATATTACATTATATACAGTACCACTTTCTAAAACTGAATGACATTTCTCATTAAAAGGTCAGCTTTAAGTTGCTCACACTGTTGCCAAAAATAACTTTTTAGGGCGTCTTTTTAAGACCAGCACATCTCACAATAATTCTTCCATGTAGGAAGGGTAAACTTCACCAGAACATCCACTTACAATTATGACATAGAAGAAAATTATATTAAAGAGAAAATGACCATGTTAGACAAATAATGTGTTTCTAACTTTGCAAAAATACTGTTTTCTTATGTCGGAAATGCTTTTATGTCAATCCACATGAAAATCCATCCCAAGTCACACATTCTGGAAACTGGGTGAGGGGACGGGAAAAGAAAATCCATTTAGCACATTCAAACTAAGTGTGTGTTACAGAAATTTAACCAAATGATAATTTAGAATTTTCATCTAATATTTCTGACAACTCTGTCTTACTTAGTCTGTTTAAGCCTATTTAAAACCCCTTATGCCATTAAGTTCCCACACAGAGCAAGTGAACATGATTCACCTTATGACTACAGAAGTTTATTGGGCCTTGCCCTGTAGCTTTAAGCTTTGACATACAAAAAGCAAAATAGAGAAGGCCAACTCAGATGAGAAGCCTCAGTTAAAAAAGGGATCAAAAAGCAGGAACAGAAAGAAGTAGAAGGGAAGTTTGAAAGGAATGGAGTTGAGCAGTTCAAGGCTGGATGAAACAAGAAAAAGGGGTTAGGCCCACAAAAATCACACTACATCCAAAACCTTGGCAGGAATCCCAAATGTCAAATGTCTCTGAAACCCATTGACAATATGTGCTCTATACACATTACTTTCATTAACTCTGTTAATCCAAGAACAATCTGTGGTGTTGATCAAAAGATTGCAACTTGGCTGATGAATCATATGAATGTCATCATCATAAAATGCAAGACAATCTGTGGTTTTGCTTAAACATTTGACTTAAGCTCTAGGAAATATAAAAGAGCTCTGAATTTTACTAAGCCGTACAAAGAGATAGCAAGTGCAGAAGCAAGATTGTTAGCGCAATTTAAGTTGTACCATTCTGCATGAATAAACCATAGCTAAGTGTATGATCCATTTTTTTTTTTTCCCCAACACAACCCGTTTCAGCCAGTGTCCAGAATAAACCTTTGCAGTGATGTTTTTGAGTAATTAAAGTTTGTTTATCTATGAAAGCTCTATGTTGTTTCATGCAGAATTTGGAAGATGTGCAGAGAACAACACAGGCGATTGAAAGAAGCCAAAAGTGGGTCTCATTTGAGGAAATTACATATTTTCCTTCTTTTCTCTGATGAAGAGTTTTTAATTCCTGAATAATTGCCCGGTAACTAGACCTGTTCACATGTGATAATTTATTTTCTTCACTTTCTGGTGCCTATTCTGAGATTCACACAAGCAGCAAAGGCAGTCAATGGATGTTCTGCATTGAATAAAAAGCTATGTATGCTAAATATTTCAGAAGAAAAAGCTTTTTAGTGTTCTCAAATTGAACACTGAGAAGGAAATGATTTCTCCAAACACTTGTACATTTAGAGAAGAAGGGGTGGTATAATTCCAGCTAACTCTAACGTGACAAGACAAATCAGTATCTATCACAATCTGTACAGTGCTTCTCTTCTGTAAGATCTTTGAATAATGGACAATTTTATGTCTGAGATGATTCTGAAAGGCATGCAATAAAAACAAAGTCATGTTGAATAATGAGAAAAAGGAAGGTATCAGTTGGCTGTGTTTTACAAATAATACTGTGAACTTAATAGAAAAAATAGAATCATATAATTAAAGTTTATGAAAAAGTAAATGAAAATGATGACCAAGTTTGAAGATACACAGGCAAAGTTTCCGCAGCATTTTGCCACCTACATTTTTAAAAAGTCTAAAATTTACAAGTAATAAAAGAGGTTACAAATGAAGACCTATTTCTATAAACAAAACCAGCACTTTCATCTAATTACTTTAAAACACCTGTTTATCATTGGTATGTACATGCTTTTAAGCAGTTATTAGAAATGCTTCTGCTCTTTGCGTAAATTTCTGCAAAATGAAACAAAAAAAAATGAAATAAAGAAGAAATAACTAAAAACCACGGTACCTTAAACCTAGTTACAAAATGTATGAAATGTTAGAATAGCCTAAGAGACAAAGAGTCTAAACATTGCTCTGACACACCTGTTAGGCAATAAGAACAGTGAACTATTACATTTCAACTTGCATAACCACTGAAAACAGTTTGACATTAAGTATGAAAAAAGGTAGATTATGTCAATAACAACAAAACCTACTTTATTAATTCTAGGGCAGACACCATTGAATATTATTAGAATTGTTTTCTGAAGAGAATGAACTGTTTAAACATATCTGTATGCATCTGTTTATGCATGTGCATATATATTGTAAACATATTTATACACAAAATGCTAATATTAGTAGGAATGGAAAATTTGCCTAAAGCTTTGCAATACACATTGTTTATTTCTCTCATACTGTGTGTTTCACTTACTCTTATTATTGGCTAAAAGAAAAAAAAATATTATCTCTAAGCATATGTAGACATTGAGGAAGCTTCGCTACAGAAGGGAAGTTATTAGACCACGCAGCAACAGGAGGAGTCCAAAGGGGAATTTAGCTAACCTTATGCTAAGTCAACAGGAACTAGAACATTCTGCTTCCTGCCCTTTCTGAAATTTCATTTCCATCCCACCATATTGACTGTGTAGGTTGAAACAGGAAGTAGCGAGACCTACTTCAGGCAGCATCTTGTGAAATCAAGTACCTTAGGCTTGCAATGGACTAGAAGGGGACCAGAAGTCCGATTACCTCTGAGAGAATGCAGTAAATCCTACCTACTCCTGTCATCCCCTCACTTGAAGACCACATGGAATTTCTTCATCTAGCATTTGATACCTTCTGACAGTAAAAGCATGATTTTTTCAAAGACACGGAATACAAGTAAACAATCCTTCTCCTTGCCTACAGAATACGGTGCTCCATTTTCACCAGGTAATTGCAATCAACAATTACACATGAACAGCTTTTTATATTGATTTCTGGGAGCTGAGAGACAGGGAGGGGGAACTAGGGAAGAAAAGAAATACTTTTTACTTCTGAAGTCTTCTAACTGCCATTATGCTAGAGGACTTGAGCAGATCTTTCTCCTTAAACAACGTATCACATGTTACTATTATAAAAGCAAAAGCAAAACAACATGCTTATTTTGGGAAAAAGCAGTGATGTTTATCAAGGCCTTTATTTCCTTTGGGAGTTTATGCCATAGTTTGGAATAACATCTTGATAATTTTTCTACGGCAAGTATATTTTATTTACAAACGGTATTTTCAAACTCCTAACACTATCTCAAGAGATCAGTAGGAAAAACAAAGGCCAGAGAGCCTTTGAATCTCTCTCAAAGATCACCACTGGCTAGTTCCGGTATTTTTCCCTTCAGGCTAATTTGAAAGTCTTGAAAAGCACATTAGTCTATCCAGTCCAAGTAAAACTCAGGTCTCTGTAGTTAAAAACCCTATGTAACTTCAAACTAAGCAGTGCAATCTTTTTATTTTCCCTTGCTGTGCTTCATCCAGGAAGCATTCGTGACTGATCTTAAGGAAAGGAGAGCTATTTTACCAAATGCTAAGAAATTGAAACATTCATCATCCATACAGCAAACTCATATTTTCTCCTTGAAAATCACCTAAAAGAGGGAAACACTAATTTTCCATGTCTTTCTTCCTCCTACATTCAATTCACAAGAGCAGCCTTTTGGCAGAAAAATGAAACTCTGGGAAGACAATCCAAGAAGGGAAATAGCAAAATGCTCTTCACCTTCTAACATATCTCCCTAAGGAAAGGCAGGTAATTTCTTCAGCAAACCTTTAAGACAAATTATTGCTTTGTTGTACTACATTACTACCATTACTGCTTTTGAGGAAGCCCTTCTCTATATGAAGTTGCTCATACCATCATCTGCATATCGAACTTGTTACCTTCGCTCTGCCTTCACAAATGTGGAATGAGGACTTATCTATGACTCAACTGTTTACTTAAAATCAATAAAATAAGTAATTAGAGCTCAAATCATCACACTTCAAATATTGAAGTGATGTCTTTATTATTCTATGTTATTGTGTCTTAATTAATTTGAAAATGCAGACATTTAAAATTCAAATATCTAAAAAACTGTAATGTTATCACAACTACTAAAGCTAGAATGTCAGGTATTAGTTATCACTTTTATACTGAAAGACTACTGAGATACCATAACATGCCTTCTCACACTTCTATATTCCAAATCAGGCTACTTTTTATGTTATATATATTTTGTGCAATAGTAACATCAGAAGCGTGTAAGGCAGCGGGATAAGGCAGGGAGTAGAAAAGCAGACATATTTCCACAACTGGGTCTTCTGTGTGCATTTGTTTGTTTCACATACTCACAGGCTGTCAGTACTAGAGTATCATCAGATAAGAAACAGTAAGATTAGACTAAACTAAGAAATTATTTTCAAGATACTAGTAGTGCTACTAATATTATGCACAGTTACCTACCATACTGTCAGCACCCTAAATGTCCAATTCAGAGCAGAGAAATAGTGGTTCAAAACTAAATTTATGATAGACTTAATGCATAATATGATTTTTGGTTGAAAATAATACCTAGACTTAAACAAAATCTTTTAAAATACAGTCACCAGGGTACAGAGCATTTTAGAGTGAAAAAAAATCCTTGACTCATAAACAATGTTACAAAATTGAAGCTAATAATATATTTTAATATTTTTCCCTAAGACGTGAGGACAATTATTCTGTGTATTATTCTACTGCATGTGCACGTATATTTTATATGTACGTAGGTGTGTGCATACACAATTTATTATGGATATAAATTTGCACTGGAGTGGGTAAAGCTAGGTATGAGCTAATATCACAGGCCTGAAGAACTTCAAGTGTTCAAAGAAAATATTTTCTTAAGGAGCTGTCTGTTAATCATCAGCTGAAAATCACGCTAAAATTATAAACATTACAGTGTCCATTCCCACGCTTGTCATTTCACACAGTAAACAGCTACAATGTGTTTAGTACTACACATGATGAAGTACTTGTGCCTGCTAATGTATTACTAATTAGTATATGTAAATCTAAATTTCTAAATATACATATATACAAGCACATATTTCTGCATATATCCATATATTTACAACAAACTGGCTGCATGTTTGGAATATTATTTTTATAAGGTACATAAAATTATAAGCTAACTTTAGAAATTTTATCTGGATCTAGACTAATTCCTACTGAAACCAATGGAAAACAATAACAACAAAACTTTTGCAGCCCAGTTATCTTTGATCTCTGTGCAATTAACAGGCTCTGCAAAAGAAGTCATACTAAAACTATTTTATCCACAATAAATACCACCTTTTTATTGTTAGAGAAGTATCTATCAGTAAAGCTGTCAAGCCTGACTTGATGTATGCCAGAAGCTTCAGAGCACCAAAGTGCTATGCAGCTTTTAAATCTGCAGCTTGCAATTGTGTATTTTTTTATTGTTTCTGAAGAACATTACTAGAAGAGCAGTATACCTGACAACATTTGCACAACTTCTGGCAAATCTTTCACTTATTTGTTACAGTGATATTTTTAAACTTCCATATGGTTGACTTTTGCAATTAACAACTGTCCTTCTAGCATTTAATTCCTTCTCTATCTTCTCCACAGTAAAGAAAATTTCTTATCCACACTTCCACGGATCTATTTCAAGTGCTATCAATCCTCCCAACCCCACAAGTTGTGTCACAATATATTTGTATGGACAAAAGCCAAAAGAAATTTACCATTCACCAGCGAGAACTGAAGGAGAAGAGTTCTGGGAGCAGCTCAGAAGCACGAGATGACAATAGTTCTCTTCCAGCCCCACTGCTCTGCTGTAAAAAAGGAACTGAACCGTGGCCCTGGTTCCAGGGACAATCAGTTAATGTCAACCTCAAATGCCAGAGAGGAGGATAACCTGGCATAATGGCACAACACTACTGCCTGTCACATGACAATCACAGCACAGGAACTTGGCCTGAACCACCCATAAACCAAAGAATATTCAGAACAGATTGGCCGCGTTTCTGTATTTTCTATCTGGCCTTGTTCCATGTCTATTCCTGCGATCTCATCTCCAACCCTTACTTGTTGCAGAACACTCCATTCCAATTACCAATTGCTTCTTTTGCTTTCCATTCCAACTATCAGCTTTGGATCTTCAGGTGGATTTTTTTGTTGTTGTTTGCTTGTTTGTTTTTAATGTAGTGCAATCAGTTTTCCTCTATGAGCATATGAAAACAGTCCCCTTCAAAGCACGTTCAGTTGCCTCTCAGCACTGATCACGATTCAGATGCCAACCGTATTTCTACCAACTGATACTTGAAGTGTTCTCATATAATTCAGCACAAGTATGTCAAAACCAATAAGGCAGCTGCCATGAGTATAAGGTGCACTGATTCAGGAATAAGGTACTCTAATTCAGGAATGAAGACACCTAGCATTGCCTTATACACATGTTCCTTAGAGAAAGATTTTCCTTTTTTTTTTTTCCCCCTAGAACTCCATATCTTCATAACGAAATAAATATAAACCAAAACGTTTAAAAGGTCTTATAATCTCAAGGTAATAGAAAAGAATGAGTTAATACAAAGAACTTGCTAATGTGCATTAACATGTTTACTTGCATGGCAAGTTCACAGAAAGGTATTTCTGAAACAAACAATAATAAAAAAACACTTCAATTATGAAGTGTGGCAGATGTACTTGGATAAACCTGCCGGAATTTCTTGATAGTGCTGACAAGCAGAACTTAATCAATATATTGCCCAATTTCTATGAGGAAAAACAAACAAACAAACAAACGCAACAACAATCCAGGCAGCAAATATTGAACTCATGAATTTCATTTTATCAACACAGTAAACAGCACATGGAACAGTTGCCTCCTATTCGAACAGTTTCAAGGTTTCTTTGGCAAGTTGTGAAGTATAGGAGCAACCAACATTAATCCAGATCACATCATTGGTATGCAAAATTCAGTAATCCTCATTAAAAAAAAAAAAAAAAAAACAACAACAAAAAAAAACTACTAGGAAAAAAAAATGTACAAGTTTTCTGAGTCTCTGAAATCAGACTGTTATTTGAGCTGGTGTTCAAAATAGTCTAAGTATTTGCTTTCAATTGAAAAGAAAAATACCATATTATATTCAGAGAGAGAAAAAGAAGTTTCCAAGTTTACACATTGACTAATCATTACCTTTTCAGAAACTTAGTTAAAACCAAAGGAACTTTTCTTTAAAGTATTTATCTACTTCTTTTTTTTCGCCACTGATGACTAAATACCAGACAGTTTGATTGGTGACAGTTTCTAGTCACAATAATAAATATATAATGTTGTATGTATGTATGTGTAAATACATAGTGTTGTATGTAACGTAAAAAGATGTTTTACTGAGCAAACCACAGAAATTAGAAAATTTACTGTTATTTTTCCTATTAAATCAAATTTACCAGAATTTGTAACACCTTAAAGGGAGACAAATGAAAGAACACTTGTAAATTGAAACATTTCCCACTCCTAAAACAAGAACTGGGAGATATATTCACCAGCTTTTATGCTAGGGCGTTCTGTGCAACCTAATAGCTTCACTAGGCATATTGTATCTGAAGTATAACCTTTCTCCAGACTTCAATGCTACAGAGACATTGCCCAGCAGTTTAACAGAAGCCACTCCGCCTTCATTTAGCGTAGCCAATAAAAAATTAGCAACTCTCCCTTTAAATAGAATGAAGCAGCAAAATGAAATTTCAAGGCTGACTATAAAATGCCCTCTTTGAATGGGACTGGAAAGTGTACAGGAATGCATATATCTTACTTCAACAATCTCTTAAAGTGAAGGGAGGGGGATCTTGATTTATTTATTTATTTATTTTGTTTCTAATGCTAAGTGGCAAGCTAGATGCCATTCTTACAGAACTGCTAAGTTAAAAATGTTTGAGAGTTTCTGGTTTACTGAGAAAGCATATATGAATGATTTCACTGTAATCTAAACCAGAAAATGTTGATATGTCCGAGACTAAAAACAGCTAGCCTAGCAGAAATTTGAGATTCACTTCACCTTGTATAGATATAGCTGCAAGTACGTGCTCTTTTTTCAACTTAAAATGGATTTCGCACCATGACAGATTTTGTTCTGAATTAAAATTGCAAATTTTCTATGTGGCCCAGTTTCAACCGCAATTGATCTGCCTTGTCGTCATAAATTAAAAAAAAAAAAAAAAGTGAAGGACACTGCAGCTTTAAATATTTCAGAGCTATGTAGCTAGTAAATAGACTCCATTGCAATATGGCTCTGAAGGTCGTGTCCTATTGTCTCTTTTCTCTGCAAATATTTTGAACAGCATAAAATGGTTTATTTTATACAATACCTCCCTGCCATTTCTAAAACATGTCAATTGTATTAGGCATTTCCTTACTGGAAAGGACAGATACGCCACTCTTTCCATACACACCCACGCTGCTTCTAGATGTATTCAAAGCATCCGCCGTGAATATAACAGCACGGCTGTACATGTCAGACATATACAGTCTTTCATATGTATACCTTATGTGAACAGACCTTATGTTTAACCCCCCTGTTAAACTCCCCAGCATAAAGACAATTAATTATTTCAGTGATGATAAAATAACTAACTGGATCTCAGGTCAAATAGCACCTTCAGTTAAAATTTATGTGCCAGTTTGGAAATTGAAGCAAGCTATTTTAACATCTCCTGCTTCTCACATATGGGTGAATGTAAAAAATAATTATTATACAAAGAGCAGCAATAGAACATAGTCTGCAAAACCTGCTTTTCATGTAGAAAGGCTAGTTACTACCTTTCTGATGGTACAAAAAAAGAAAAACAACAGTTGCATTTAAGAACAGATTACAAGAACAATAAGACCTAATGTTGAGCCAGAATTTGGAATCTTTGTGATCCTACTCCCTAGGATCAACCCCACTTCTTTCATATGAGGTGACAATTTGGTGCAGATATGAATTATGCCTCTCAGGTAGAACAATAAAGTGAAATATCCCCCTGCAATAAATACACCATGTGATAGCTGTCACCACATAGAAAGTACATGTAATCATTTACCTGAAAAGGCAACAGATTGTTGCCATTGTCCGTCCTGAATGCGTTGTCTTCCATCCAGGATTTGGGGGTTAAGGGTGCAGCCCGTGGGAACTTCGGAGGGGCAATGACATTGCTGGAGAACGGCTTTTTAAGGGGTGAAATGGGATTGAGGGGGGAGGGTACGCCGACCCCCACTCCCACGCCGACCCCCACTCCAACTGCCCTTCGAGGGTCCCTACCAGCCTGCAGCCCACCCCAAGGGTTGGAAGGTGTACTCCAAGCTGCATTTTGATGGTTATTCCAGCTGGAGGAGGAAGATGAGGAGGCAGAGGAGGAAGACGGTTTGCTGGTCATGATGGGCTGATGACTGTAAGCAGCATTTCTCTGGGCAAAAGGTGCCTGATTAGGGCTCACAGGTGACCTCCGCTGCTGCTGCTGTTGCTGCTGTTGAGCTTGCTGCTGCTGCTGCTGATGTTGGTGGTGTTGAGTCTGAGCTAGGCCAATTTGAGGCGAGAAAGTGCCACCAAATACAGGGTTGACATGGTGTGGAAAATTCTGGAAAAGCATTGTCCCATTGACTGGAGTAATCCCTTGGAAAAAGCTATCATCCACCGTGTTTGTGGTCCCTGTAGACCAGGTGCTGCCGAAGGAGGGAGACAAGGAGGTGCCGGCTGCAGGTTCTTGTTGAGGCTGGTGAAAGCTCAAGCCAGGCAAAAGGGGAGACTCCATCTGCATCTTCTCCTTGCTATTTTGGGAAGGAGCTGATGTGCCGATACTAGTCACTGAACTGCTTGTCTTCTGGCTTGGGCGTCTCCGACGAGATGGGCGTAGAGGGGGCTTCTGCTGAGTTTGGATCTTGCTGCTGCTGCTGCTGCTGCTGCCGCTGCTGCTGGGGCTGGGCTTTGCTTTTGTCCATCAGTAAATCATCCTGCATGGTTTGCGCAGCTGAAACAGTAGGGGAAAAAACCACAAAGACAGATTATTAACATTGTCACTCATACCACAAAGCAGGCTGTTTTAATCATTTGCCGGCCAAAAATCTCGTCCTATTGCTAGTGCTACGCTACAGCAAGTTGCAAGGCAAACCCGTAATCTTCCCCCTCCCCCATTTAGGAACATGTAAAGCTTTGATCGTGCTAGATTGCCTTTAAAATATTTTTTTAAGATGCTTCACCCTTTTTGATGCCTTGTTTCCCTTCAGTCTAAATGAGAGATGTGCTTATAGGGCAGAGATATACAGCAATTTCGCCACGTCTCTTTTCTCTTACACCGGAACTCAGAGCTCTCACCCTGCAATGAGAAACTGATTCTGGTTCCTGTTTTTCCAAGCACCCTCCTCCTCCTCCACCTCCTCCCCCTGGCTATTTGCATACGTCAATAAATACTGCTGCGTCCTTCAGCAAGGTTAAAGAGACACCAGGCTTCGCTCTTCTCCACCCCTTTCTCTAGCAGGGCACCTTTAAAGGAGCCGGCTGCCTATTTTCCGCACCTACCAGCTGGCCTTTCGGGCACTTGGCCTGGGCAGGGGCGAAGGGTGCGGGGACCGCGGCCCCTCCCCGGGGGTCCCCGGCTTTCGGCCGCCCCTCGCTGGAAGCAGGCCGGGGTTGCCGGCAGGGAAGAGCAAGGCCAAGAGGAGCAGGCAGGGAGGTATTGTTAGAGCGTAATTCTTCTGGTGCTTTCACGGTGGGAAAGAAAAATGGGGCACACCGAAGGTTTTCAGTGGAGACGTGCCACCTTCTAAATGTCATCTTTAAGTGTGCAAGACAAAGACTAGGCAAGCAATTTATTTGCCAAATGTGGATGTAAGTTGAAACGTTAAGAAGCAAATGCGTGTAGCGTGACTGAGCCTCATATCTGCTACAAAAGCTGCTTCATCTAAAGCAGATCCGATAACAGATTAATATTTCAAACCACAATAATAATGCATATACAGACATAAATGAACAGCAACTGCATGAAACTAGAACAGGAACCTCTGCATTTCTCAGACTTTTAGACAACTGAGAAGTTCTTATGCATATCAGAAGTATTTTAATGAGCCAAACCTGCTTACTTTGAGAAACTGTGTCAGAGATGGTCATCACTGAATACCTAATTGCACTTGTATTGAGCTGATGGTGAGGTCAGCATCCCTAAAACCACCTTCTTTCCAGGATTGTTTTCACAAAGGAAAATTCAGCCAAATCAATTCAGTGGTTAAGAAAGGTGGCAGAGTGAAGTCGGTGACCCTTTCCAACAGGGACAGTTTTCAGCTGGTCCGTGTGCATCTTTAACATTTTTCATATTTGAACCTCTTCTAAGCCATTCACACCCTTTTTAGTTAAAATGAAGGTAAGGACAGGTTTCGGCTATCAGCTTAGTTACTTCGCTTGCTCCCTATTATTTCCCTGTTCAATATAAAACCAGCCAGGGTCCATGAAGGCTACATTGTGATTCAACATTCAGGCAAGTTCCTAAGAACAGAGGAAACTATTGCATCTGTAACAGGCAGCTCTGCTGCTGCCGATGGGGGTGCAGAAAACCCTGAGAGGCATTTTAAAGCAATGCTGCAGTAAGCCATAATATACCAAGCCCTGGGTAGCTTTCCATTAGCTGCATTTATGGCAAAATCACCATTACTCCTCTGGCTGCATAAAATTGCAGATGATTCTACATCAGAGAGATCAAAAGATAGTATTTATCCCTCCCCTTGTTCTGAGCCACCAGTATAAAAATATAGAGTGAAAAATATAGCAGCTGAAATGCTAAAATTCTGTCGTCAATACAGTATATTTAAATCAGTTAGTCACCAAGTTATCTATAGTGGCTAACACAGCAGTGGCTTCCAATATGTACCTTGACTTAGCTGTTTGTATTTGAACTTTATCCTGCAGGCTGCAATCCACATTCATTTTCATATTACTTCTTAAAGGTAAAATCCCTGCACAATTCAACTCTCTTGTCAAGGTCAAGACCTACCTTTAGCAGTGAAGGCAGTCTGAATGGAAAAACACTGACTGATAAACGACTGAAAGGCAGGCCACCAATGCCTAACACTGGACTAATATGCAGTACCTCTTGATTATTTGCTGGTGTAAGTATTTGTGCAAATCTACAATCCAGTACAGGAAATCTATATCCCCACAGCAATACCAGCTCCAGTTGCATGCAGTAACCCATGCAGTCAATGCAGAAATTCTTAAGGAACAGTTACCTTTAGGATTTTCTCTACTTAAAGCTCAACAAAATGTCAGTATATTTATTTTCCTCTCTCGGGTTTGGTATATGACAAACACTCGGCCACTCTGGCAAGAGCACTTTGACAACTGGAAGCTTTCGGCGCATGCTC